CTCTGGGGGTCGCGTCATGAAAAAATCATGACGTCGGGGGTCTGGGAACATGGATCAGGGGGGCGTGGATTAGCTTGGCATCGCTCGGACGTGTGCATTTTTTCTTCCGTGGGGGCCATCGAGGAGCATCCTGGATCAGTTGGCGAGAAAACACCACGCACGACGCCAAACAAAAAACACGGGGAATGGACGTCCGAGCGATGGCGAGTTAGCGACGGGCCCCGTTTCCATGGGGACCGCGGATTTCCGCCGCCGGCCGGGGCGGCACTGGCCGCATCATTTTGGGGAGGGCACCTCCCGAGATCCGTGGATTTGGCGACTTCGCGCCAAGTCCCTGGATCGCTAACTTATTCCATGCCGCCCTCTGAGAAGGCCCTCTCCCTCTGACTGTCCCCCCCACCCCTCCCGGCCTCGCCGCCGCATCATACTCGTCGGGCGGCGCCCTCCGAGGCCGAGCACTAAGCCATGGCCTCCGGCGCCGCCCTCGCGGCGGGCTGGGCGGCGTCCCGTGGGCTCTTCGAGTGACCCGGCGGGGGAGGAGGTCGGAGGAGGAAAAGGTACCCATACGCCTACCCTCCGCCCGTTTTCCCTTTTATGGGTCTCCTGGGAGGCCCTCAGTCGCCACCTTTGGATTCGCCTCGAACTCCTGGTCAGAACGCACCCCAGGAGAGGTCCGGGGGGTCGCGGTATCGGTGCCTTTTGGTTTCCCCAGGATGGCCAGGATCTCGGGTGCCTTGAGACGGGGGATCCATGCAAACGGGGGTCATGCTGCATGACCCGCTCCTGCAGGATCCCGCAGAGCCTGGGTTGTATTGACCCGGGCCGGCGCGCAAGGATTTGGTGTACTCCTCCACCTCTCTCGTACTGCGTTTGATCCATTCTACCCAAGGTTCCAAATATTCTTGAAGGTGCTCTGCTGCGGGTAGTTCTCCATGTTTTACTCCATCGCTGTCCACATCGTCGTCGCTGCTTGTCGTTGTGTTTGCCCTCTCTTCTATCTCTGATCCTTCTGCTTGGCGTACTTCTTTGCGACGTGGCGTCTGGATGATCATTCTCAGCATGTGTCTTTGCGTTCGTCGAAGAAAATGGATCACATTGATGACTGGATCACACTACAACGTCGAAGAAAATGGCGGTGGTTCGCAAAAGTTGCATGCAAGGCGCCCGGGGAGTGGATGCGCCAGGCTGTATCTTGGGATCCGTGTCAGCACGTTGAATTATATGCGAAAAGACGCCCTCACCGACCAAAGCGTCGCTGGATTGACGACATCTTTCATTTCGTTTCAAAGCACAAAGAAACGTTGACCCCGGAAGAACAGAAAGCTTTCGCAGACGGACGTGAAGCGCGAGATACTGTTCATCTACTCCTGAGGTGTGCCACGCGAGATGTATGGCACGATCTAGAGCAAGAGTTCTGTCAGGCGATCTAATCCGTAATGGGTGCTTCGTGCGCAATGCGGGTCGCAGCCGCAGTCGCCGTCGGGCCGGCGCGCAGGATCCTGCAGGATCCCGCAGGGTCCTGCACAGCCCGACTGACCCGGGTTTGCAGTGACCCAGGTCAGTCGGGGGTGGACAGACCTTGATGGGAGCATTTTCCACCACCACCACCATAAGTTGGAGGGGGAGGGGGTCCTCCTCCTCCTCGTCCTCCTCCTCCTCCTCCTCCTCGTCCTCCTCCTCGACCTCCTCCTTCCCCCTCCAACTTATGGTGGTGGTGGTGGAAAACAAGCACATCAGACCTCCTACCCTGACACGTCGATTGAGGAATTGGCCGTTTTCGGTGCGCGAGGGGGCGTCGCGGCCGTCATTTCTGCGGGTCCAGGTCCGTCGGTTTCGGTCCCAGGCCGTTTTCACTCAGGGGGGGTCTACTGAAGGGAGGTTCGTCCACCGCCGAGTCAGCAGGTCCCTTAAGATCTTCGACGAGATGGGCGCTCTGCCTAGATGCTTCCGGCTCGGGGGCCCTCTGTTTCGGGCCCCCGGGAGCATCAGAAAGAGATCAGGGGCGAAGTGGCCTCGGGAAGGGGGCCGGGACCGCTGGGGCCGCGCATCGGAAAAGTCAGATCGGCGGATGTCTGGAGGAGGAGGAGGAGGAGGAGGAGAAAGACGAGGCAAGGCAGTATGACGATTCATTCCCTCTTGGAAAGCCCACTGGGTGCTGCCCGGGTGTAGTCTCATCCCCCCTGCCCTGATGCGCCTACGTCAAGGACGGCTTATGGGAAGTGGGAGTCAATCGCCAGCTGTATGTGTCCCGTCGCCTGCAAACGGACCAGGTGGTCCTTGCGTGTTGCGGTGTGGGTCCTACTGCATGGAGTGGCCCAGGGGGTTGCGGGAATCATGCAATTTTGGCCGTTATGCAAAACGGAGGAATTTTCTGAAGCGTAATCTGCTGCCCTGGCCCAAGGGGCAGTCCATCACTGATGTTTGGGCCCTCCTCCCAGAGTCGGCGGAGTGGTGGGACTCGGCTCGATCACCTGGTGTCGCTCGGCGTTTCTTCCGCCCCGTGGACTCGTTGTCACGGTTCCGGCCGCCTGCCATGCCGTCTTTCTGTCCTGAAACGGCAATTCTGCATTCTTTTGGTCGCAGCAATCGGGGGCGGCAAAGAGGGGGGTGATGACAAGGGGGACGGATATCATGGCGGGGGCCATGACATCCCCCCAGATTTCATGGCGCCTCTTCTTTTTTCAATACGTCCCTGGTCCACCCCCTGGGCCGCGCACGTGCCGCTGGCCATGATTTGCGCCCCCCCCTCCTGGACGCCCCCCTCTTGGCCGACCCCGCTCCCGCTCCCGCCGCTGCTCTTGCCGACGGTGCTCCTTGGGCCACCGGCAATCGCCGCGGTGACCGGCCGGATTGCCCCCATGTCGGCTTTTGCCGGCTCTTGCCTGCTGTTCGTGCTTTGGGCGTTGCGTAATGGAGGGGTCATAAATGGGGGGGTGGCGAGGGTGGTCCGAAAAGGTACCCAAACGGTACCTAAACGAGCCCCCTGGGGCTTTGGAGGGGCCCGAAAGGGGCACGAAAGGGGACCTTTTCTGACCCCCCCATTTGTGACCCCCCCATTAAGCCACGCCCAACTTTTGCCGGCTCTTGCCTGCTGTTCGTGCTCCAGGCCCCTGCCCCAGGCCTTCCTCGGCCATGCGCAGACGGGAGCAGAGGGAGGGGGGAAGGCTCCTCAGAAGGCGCGGGCCTTGTCTGTAGGTGCAAGGCACGCGCCTTTCAGAAGCTGCCTGCTTCCAACACCCCCTTCTGCGCGCCGCCAACTTCCCCCGTCGTGGGCAGCGGTATGACCAAGAAAAACACATCCCGAACCCCCAAATCGCGGATTCACCGAGGTTTCGAAGATCGGCCAAAGATTTCGGGGTATGTTTTGCGTTCGGCGTTGTCACCCTGGTAAAACCCTAACCCCCAAAAATCTCCCTCTCCGAAGTCTCGAGGAGCCTGCGCTCTGTCTTGGCCCTCGCGTTTTTGGGGATTGGGCGTCTGTTTTGAGTTAGTGACGGTACGCGCGCCATGCTTTCTGTCTCAGTCGTCATCCCGCCTCGGGAGGGGGGCGGAGGACGAGAGGAGGCCGATGCTCGTTCGGCACCTGGGGTGCCTCCTGCCTCGGGGGCTCCTCGCCGCGGCGGCTGCGCTCGCCCCGGCACCCACGCCAGAGCACCCCCCCCCGCGGGGGAGGCCTGGGGGCAGGACGAATTTGGACTCCTCCGACTTTGAGTCGACCCGATTTCGAACGATTCCGATTCCGATCTGACTCGACCTCGGCTTCCGACTCGGACCTCGGCCTCTCGATGGGGAAGCCTCACGAGTCTGTCGATGTCCGCCGATCCGATTCGCTTCGATCGGCGAACCGACTTGTCGATTCTCGCAGGCCTAGAGGTTGACACCAACACCAATTTCGGCGGTGTGCCTCCACCGAGGGAAGAAGATCCCGATCTCGGTGATGGTGGTAATATTCGGGCTTCCAAGGTGACCGACATATTACCACCAACACCGAAGTCGAGAATCATCTTCCCCCTGTGGAGGCAACGCCCTGTGTTGGTGTTGGTGCCTATTTCCAGGCCTCCAAGATTCGATCCCGTGCTCGCCTTCCCGTGGGCGGAAAGCAGATCCGTACCCGCGGCCTCGCGGGCTGGGCCTCCTGGGCCGCGACCTGGCGGATGCGGGGCGTGTGTTCGCGGACGCTCCGCGGGGCACGCTTGCGAGCGATCCCGCGCCTCCGCGGGGTCGCGCCCCGGAGTTCCAGCCTCGAACGTATCCCTATCCCTAAGATTGACACGCCAAAAGGCGATGACAATCTTAGGGATTCGCCCCCCAAAAATAAGGGAGCCCCTAAGTTTGTCATCGTGATGGGGAGGTGCCCAGCATAGGGATAGGGATATGTTCCAGGCTGGTAACCAGAGTTCGGACCGCGGGGGGAAGGCCGTGGGCAGGTACAACCGGGACAACTTCCTCTACGACCGCAGGCTCCGCCAGCGCATGGAGCTCAGCGTGCAGGGCTTCCGGGCCGAGACGGGGAAGCTGTGGCGGCAGGACGTCCGAGACCTCGTCTCCCTCACCGAGGCCAAGATGCACGTCTCGAAGAGGAAACCACGCCATGCAGTGGAGGCCCATGCCAAGAAGCACCCTGCCTGCCTCTGGCGTGCCCTGGGTTGCTTGGGTCTCGATGGCTTTGCCGTGGAGAGCGTGACGTTCCCACACCAGAAATCAATGGACGCCCTGGGGTCTCAGGTTTGGGTTTCTTGTGGACTGGCCTCCACTGTGAGCACAAACTTTGGGCGCTCCGCGCGGATATTCCTTGGGTCCGCGCTGGGCCCCCCTCCCCCGCGGAGCCTCCGGCGCCGCCCCTGGAGCGCTCCTCGCGCCAGGGAGGGGGAGGGGGGCAGCGCAGAGCCGAGAAGTCCGCGCGGTGCGCCGGAGGGTTATGTTTATATGGCGTGTTTTCTGCTTCGAACGTCTACCTCCTGGTGAACGTCCTGCTGCTGAGCTTCACCATGGTGGTGTGGATGGAGGGCGACATCGAGGACCCCGCGGCGCGCGCGGGGGGGCGGCGCGGGAGGGGGGGCCTTCTACGAAGCCTGGGGGGGGGGGCTTTCTCAGAGCGCAGGGGGCTTCGCAGAAGCATCCACAGGCCTCTGCGACCCCTCGCACCCTCTCCTCCTTCTCCTCCTCCTTCTCTCCTCCTCTTCCTCCTCCTCCTCTTCCTCCTCCTCCCTCCTCCTCCTCCTCCTCCTCCTCCTCCTCCTCCTCCTCCTCCTCCTCCTCCTCCTCCTCCTCCTCCTCCTCCTCTTTCTTCTAAAACCTCCCCGCGCCTTTCTTGGAGAGGGCTGCCCCCGTTCCCGACGCGCCGCCCCCCCCCTCGTGCGCACCGCCGGGAGGACCCTGAGGGGTGGCTGCTGCTGCCGTACTCCCTGTCGCTCGCTGGGGCCGCGATGTTCCTCCTCATGTCCATCTGGATGTCAGGGGAGGAAAAGGTACTGATACCTCTAATCTCCCATTGCTTTCCCCTTTTTGGGCCTCCTGGGAGGCCCTCGTCGCCACCGGTGGATTCGCCTCGAAATTCTGGCCAGAACGCACTCCAGGAGAGGTCCAGGGAGTAGCGGTATCGGTACCTTTTGGTTTTCCCAGGATGGCCATGCACGCGGCTGTCATCGCGCAGAGCTACGAGGTTCGCATCCTCACGCAGCTAGTCCGCCTGCCGCTACCCACCTGGCGCGAGATCGAGGCCTGCCGGCACAGAGCTGCTCGAGGGACGATCCGATGCGCTCCGATGCCCGCATCCTGATTTCGATCTCGCTCCGGCACGATCCGACACGAGCCGAGTCCCTCTTTGGTTTGCAGGGGTTGAGTTCGACCTCAGAGGTCCGCTCAAATTTCTAAGGTCGGCGCTGGATCTCCCTCCTTGGCGCGCAGAGCGCGCCAGGGGCTTCGCGTGGATGTAGTTTTTTCTCTTGCTCCGGTCTCCAGATTGCAGGGGCCGAGCCCGAGCGATCCGATTCGAATCCGATCCTGCGCCGATTCCGTTTCCGACGCGGTCCGACGTCACGATCCGGTTTTGCTCAGGCCTGCCGCACCTACGCCTCCGAGTTTGAGTCGGTGGACGTTCGCCAGATGCTCCGCGTGCCTCTGGCAATGGGCAGACAGGATCTCGGAGGGCGCCAGGTGTGTACACGCCCGATCCTACTCTACTTCAAGCGCCTTCCTACTTCAAGAGCCGACATGTTTTTGCTGTGTTTTGTTATTCCCGGGGAGGGGCTGAACCCGATCTACTTTATCCGCCTTCTTCATGCTTTTACATTCTTTTTCTGACCGACGTGTACCTCGCCGTCCTCCTCCTCCTGCGCCTCCTCTTCTTCTTCCTCCTCCTCCTCCTCCTCCTTCTCCTCCTCCTCCCCTCCCAACCTTCGGAGGTCTGTCCATCCCCAATGAGGGCTCTTTTCGATCCGACTGATCTGCGTCGATGTCGGTGTCGGTAGGCCCCATCCGATTCGAGCCGATGCGATGCGACTGGCTGCTTGGGTGGCGCTGTTGTGCATCCTGGCGCGGCCGATCCGATTTGATCTTGACTCCGTGCCAATGCGGCCCGATCATACGGTCGATGATTGCGTAGCGCTCTTTGCACCCTGGCGCGGCCGATCTGATCCGATCTCGACTCCGTGCCGATGCGGCCCGATCCCACGCCCGCCGATGCTTGTGTGCTGTTATGGTTCACCCTGGTGCGGCCGATGCGACCCGAGTTCGACTCCGTGCCGATCCAAGACCCCCGACGTCACATTTTTGTTTCAGAGCTCTCCTTCCTTCTCCTCCTCCTCCTCCTCCTCCGCCTCCTCCTCCCCCTCCTTCTCGTGCCTTCGAAAAAAAAAAAAAAAAAAAATGTTTCAGAACGTCGACCCCCAGGTTTTTCGATCCTTCCCCTTGGCCGGCCCAGGGGCCCCGCGTGGGCCTCCGGGGCCAGAGAGTGACTAGCAGCCTCCCGTGCTTTTTGTGGCACGGCCCGAGGTGGGTCTGGGATGCGGCCCGATCCGACGCACCTTGCTCCGCACATTCCGGTCCCATTTTACGACGTGATGCTCGACGGCACCGTAACGGGCACGTGCTAACGGGTACTTTGCAATTTTGCCGAAAGTTGCCACTTTAGGGCCTCTTTCTGGCAATGCAGCGTTGCCCGCATCGGGAAGGGTTGGGTTCGCTGGGTCACTGGCCAAAGTACCCGTCAGTGGAGTCCCCGTCTGTGGGGCGCTGAGATGCTGAGTGAGCGTTTTTTTTGTTTCTCCTCCCAGCATAACGCTCGTTACCCGGGCCCCCCCCCCTTGGGGTAACGCTCACGGTCGTACTGGGCGGGGAGACCTGGACCCCCCCCTTTCCGTACATGCTAAGGGGGCGGACCTCCGCAGGTATGGCGCTGCGCCGGTGGCGCGGACGCACCCTGGCGGGTGCACGCCGCAGATGAATTTACCGTTACCCTCCCGCCCGAGCGCCCCCCCCCCCCCGGGTAATGTTTGTTACCTTGGAGGGACGACGACAAAAAACGCTGAATGACTGGGTCCTGCCGGCGCAGGACCGCCTCGTGCGGGGCGGGGCCACCGAGGGCGCGGCGGCACCGCCGGGCGCGCGCAGCGCCGACCCGTGGGGCTTCGAGCGGCCGGGCGAGGACATCGGGGAGCTGGGCTCTCCAGGGCGCCGAAGTCGGGCCGAGGCTGCCAAGACTGGTTGCACAATTGTTCCGCCTTGGCTCCAGGGCGTGTCCTGCGACTTCTGGATTCGGGCCTCAGCGGCTACGGTTCGCAACACATTCACACAATGGTGGAGTCGTGCATGCCTGCACACCTGCAGCAGCGTGTGCAAGTCATGTGCAAGCACGAGCTGCAGTGGCAACGATACTCGGCTCAAGTGCTCGGGCCCCCTCGATAGGAGGCCACATGTGAACCCTACACCACCACCCCACGAGGTCTAAGAGGGGAGGTGGGGTTCACTTCGTTCGGGACCCTTCGAGCGAAGTGAACCCCACTTACCCCCCTAGCAATCGTGGGGTGGTGGGGTCGTGTTCGCATGTGGCCTCCTACCTCGCGTCGTTGCTTTTCTCGGGGAGCTGGGCTCTCCAGGAAGAAGTCGGGCAGGCATGGGCTCCCTCGATAGGAGGCCACATGCGAACACTACCCCACCACCCCACGAGTTCTAAGGGGGGAGGTGGGGTTCACTTCGCTCGGGAGGTCCCGAACGAAGTGAACCCCACATCCCCCCCTTAGAAATCGTAGAGTGGTGGGGTAGGGCGATTGAAATGGGTATGGAAAGGATGGCTACAAAGACCGACAGCAGTTCCTGTTCGTTTTGAACAGGACTCGCTGTCCGCGCCGCCGGCCGCGGGCGGTGTCCATTTGACACAGAAGGCCGCCTGCCCAACAGCGGCCGCTGATGGTTTGGACATCATTTGTGAGTGGGCATTATAGTTGTATTGTCCGTACCCCTTGCGGATCCAAAGAAGTCGGGCAGGCATGGGTGCCCTTGCGTCGCTGCTTTTCCCGAGGGAGACTGAGCGGCGCAAGCACGAACTTGCAGAGGTCCGCGCGGACATCTCGGATCTGCGATGGGCCTCCTCGGCGGCGCCTCCGGCGCCGCCCCCGGCACGCTCCGCTCGCCAGGGAGGGGTTCGTTCGGATGCAACTCCTGGGAGGTCAAATTCTGATCTTGCCCTGGTCCGAAATCCGGCTTAATCCCGCTTAATCCCGCTTAATTTGGCTTAATCCCGCTTAATCCGGTTTAATCCCGCTTACTCCGAGGCCCACTCCGGCGTAATAGCCCCCAAATGGGGCTTGATCCTCCTTAATCTTTCCGACGAAAACCTCCCAGCAGTTGCCTCCTAAGGTTCGCAGCGCAAGTTCCAGCAAGCCGCGCGGACCAAAGGAGCGACCCAGCGACAACCGGGGGGCGCGTCGGCTGCCCGCGCAAGGTCGCGGGCAAGGGTCCTCGTCCCAACGCGGCGTGCCACGCTGAAAAAAAAAAAAAAAAAAAAAAAAAACGCGGCGTGCCACGCTGTCGGCCCGCGTAGACCGCCGCGTCAGGTTGCCTGGCATCGCTCGGACGTGTGCATGTTTCCTTCGGCGAGGACCATCGAGGAGCATCCTCGACCATTTGGCGAAGATGCCACGCGCGAAACCGAAAAAAGCACAGGAAGTGGACGTCCGAGCGATGGCCAGGTGGCTGTGTCATCTCGTGTAAGACCCCTTTCTGATCGTCGCTCGAATTATGCTTATGCCTTTGTCTGACCCTTTGTCTGCCAATGCACCCTGGACGTGCACGGCTCGCTCTCTCTCTCTCTCTCTCTCTCTCCTGCGTTGGGGCGGTCGTTTGGGATAATACGCTTCGGCCCTTCCTCCCCGGATCCCGCCTCTCCTCTCAGTGGGCTTCTAGGAGGTCCAGCGGAGTGACGTCTTATGCAGATCAGACGGAGGCCCCGCCGTCAGAACTGCGAATCTGTCTCCACGTTCGTGGGCTCCTGGGAGGTCAGCGGAGCGACGTCGCATTCAGAACAGATGAAATCTCGCCGCCCTTGGGTGCTGCGAATTGCTAGAGTGGCCGCTTCCCTTTCGAGCGTGAGGCAACAACTGATTCCATCCCGCCCTCGTCCTTTCATTGGTGTCCCGTGAGGAGTGCGACGCGCGAGCCTGCCACGTAGCTCTCAGCAAATTGTTGTCATCGCCGTGTCACCACCCGTAACAACTTGGCCAATGCCAGGACACGTTTCCAGCATGTTTTTGGCGTCTCTTCGACACCGCGCCAGGCTCTCTCGTCAACGCGGCTAGAGCCACCAGGGAATTCTGGCCACAGCGCACACCCAAGATGGGGTGCCCCTGTCGTCGCGCAGTTCGAGGATACAGGATCGAGTGTCGCAGTTTTGATGCGTTCTTGGCCGTTTCTGGCCGTTGCTGGGAGTCGCTTCCAGGTGGACAGCCCTAGCCTAGCGGACGTCTCCATACCATGGGCTTCATGGCCACGGCCAGATCCGCCTCGAGATTCTGGTGAGAACGCACCTGGGGATGGGCTCGGGGGTAGATGTTTGACCCCTGAACTCATTCCCTTCGCGTCGTGACAAAAATCTCAACGGGTGGTTTTGGCAGTTTTCTGCTTCGCGGGCCCGTTACCACCCCAGGACTGTGATCGACTCGGGATTAAAGGCCGGTCCATTGGGAATGGGCTCAGGGCTTTGGGTAGCTTGGATTTCAAAAGCGCAAGAGTGTTGGCGGCGCGCACAATGGGGTGACGCGGGGGGGGAGGCGGCTTTCCAAGACGGCTTAGGAGACGGCTTAGGGGGGCCCGGAGGCTTGCAAAAAGGCGTTTCAGCAGCCTCCAGGCCCTCTACGACGCCAAACGTCCAGCAGAGACTTGTTGAGAGTCACTTCCTCTCAGCGTGTCGCGCCGCCGGTGCTGGCCCGCAGTGCGTTGGCGCGGCGCGCCGTCAGTGTCCTCCCGAGCCTTTTCCAACTCTCCGTTCCACGGAGCGGAGCGGCACGAGGCGACCCGCTTGCAGTTCCAGGGCGCAGCGCGCCGCAGGGGCCGCCGCCACACGGTATCCAGTGCCCACTGGTCGTTGAAAGTAGGTACTCCAGATTTCGTAATAAAGGGAGGGGGGTCTCATTTCGGGGGGGGTCTCTTCCAGGCTATCTTGGAGGGCCTGGGGGGGGTCTGGGGACGATGTTTTGGAGGGTTCTCCCACGGGGGAGGTCTGAAATGGCTTGTCTTGGAGGGTCCAGACCCCCTCCCTTTATTACGAAATCTGGAGTAGGTACTTTGCACTCCCAGTTCCCAATCTTCTTTAGCCGCCTTCCCGACGTCAAGAGTCGAGTGCTTTTCCCTCCTCCCTCCTCTTCAGGAGGCGGGCGGAAGCCCAACCTGCTTCCACCGCATTCCTACTTCATGGTTCTACCCACTTCTGCCGACCGATGGGCACAGAAACGTTCATCACCCAAAGTCGACCCTCCAGCATTAATGTCGGTGGTCGAGAACATGAGGAATAGGGGTCCCAGGGGAGAAGACGACGACCCGCGTCGACGGGGGCCAGTTTCAGGACCGAGGTCTTCGAGGCCGCTGGACGTTTGTGTTGGTCTTCCTAGGCGTCTCGTCTTGCCGCGGCAGGGTCCGCCTTGTAATTCTAGGCAGATTGCGCCCCAACCAAGGCCCTGCCAACGGGGCGTTTGTAAACGGGTCGGTAGCTAAGGGTGCGTTGTCAATTGTGTTTTCGAAAAATTGAATTGCCGCGCGCAAGTGCGAGGTAACCCCCCCCGCCCAGAGTTATGATGATGTATCGACGTTGTTGGCGTCCCGATGTATCACGCACTAGTGCGAGGTAAATGCCCTGTCACCCCGTTCCCGCTTGAACAGGCCCCTTAGCTACCGCCCCGTTACTGACGCCCCGTTTGCAGGGGCTTGGCTCAGGAGAGGTCTGGGGGCCAAGCAATGAGGGAGGAAGGTCGCGGCTCGGTCGGATCGGCTGCGTGGCAGTCGGTTGCGATTCGGACGCTTCGGGTCGGGGCCTGTTGTTGCGTCGTTGTCGCGCCGCTGCGCCCTTCTGGGCTGCTTGAAGCAACGCCGGTTTCGGCCAGTTTCGGCGCCACTGCCTGTCCCGCCGGTTTCCGGCTCGCCTGCCGCCGTGGCCAGTGCTGGCTGATGCTACACCTTTTCGTTGGACATCGTCCCTATGGTGCCGCTCCAATTCTTGACGCCTCGCGTATTCCCCCAGCATCACTCTTGCGCCGACACGATGTTTTGGAATTTGTGTCGCCTACTTCACGGATGTCGTCCGGGTGTGCCTGTCGGTCTAGTTCGTCTCTGACGGTGCTGTTTCCCTGTCTCACACCGAGCGATCGACCTCTGCGTGTTTATGGTCGCGCCGCCGCGCCATTTTGGCTGCGCTTACTTGCTGGTCGCCACCGGGATTTCCAACGCCACCGGGTTTGGGAGTATCGGTTCTGGCTCTCCTTCTGAGTGGCTGCGTGGCTGCCCGCTTGCTCGCTTCGCTTGCCTTTTTTTACCTGCTGCCTAGTCGCGGCCCGGCTAGTGTTCGGACGGCTTTCGACCCGCCTAGCGAGCCTGTTGACCAAAAGTATCCCCCCAGCAGCCCGGTGGCAACGAGGCCGAATTCTCGTGCTTGGCGAGTCAGCTCCCATGGTACTCGCACGCTGCAGCATCCCAGCCGCCTCCGCAGCTGGCAGCTTCTCTCCCCCGGCGCAGCTCAGCCTTTTGCGCGGCTGTCGGTCTTGCCTGCCTTGCTCGGCGCGCGCGCCGGCAACTCGGTTGTTCGCAGCCCGAGCTAACTCTGCTGACGCTTTCGGCCCTTTGGGCTGCGGCCGTGACGGAAAATCAACCGAGCCCGTTCAGAAACGATCGCCAGTCGAGTGGTGTTGATCGGGGAAGTGTAGAAGCGTGCAGTGGAACAGCCGCCTTGGATACGTGCCGGGTGCGCAGAAACTGCGGGAACATGCGTGGAATGATTTCACACATGTTCCCATGCCACGGCGGCTTCATGGAGTTTTTCTGGGTGCCTTCGTGGAGTGATCTTGGGACCCTCTCGGGTCGGGGAGGTCGCTATTTTTTGACACTCTGAGCAGGAAGGAGGGAAAGAAACCGGCAGGAGGAGGAGGAGGAAGAAGAAAAGGAAAAACCAGTGTAAGGATCGAGGAATAAATGAACGATGAAACATGCGACGACAATGATGCCCACACCGTGCCTCTTGAAACCCTTGTGAGGCGCTTTTGGGGTGCTCTTGGGCGCTCTTGGGATCGTCATGGCGCCCTCTTTGGCAATCTCAGGGCCACCCTGAGGCCTTAAAACCCATCGGATGCCAAAAGGCGAAAAAGGCACAGCATTGACATGACTCAGGTCTTTGAAGGATGTTGGCCTCTTGGAGGGTGCTTCCGAAGGTTCGGAGAGCACCAGGAGCCCCCTTGGAGAGGTCTTGGAGCCTTTTGGAGATATGGCGGAAGCTATCTTGAGCCACCCTGAGGTGTCTTGAACCATCTTGGAGGCCATTTTGCAGCATCTGGAGCGCTTTGGGAGCCACCTTGCGATCCGCCCAGTGGATGTTCGCTGGGATCTCGTGGGAGACCTCCCGGGGGCCTCTTGGAGGCTTCTTTGAAGCCTCTTGGGGGCCGTTTTGGGGTCTCGGGGGCCTCGAGGGCTCTTGGAGGCCTCTTGGGGGCCTCTTCGGGTCTCTTGGCGCCTCTTGGGGCCTCTGGGGGCGGAAGTTCGTGTTCCCTCTCCGGGGCCCTTTGGGGGCAGTCTTTGGGTCCTCTTGGGCCGTCTTGAGCGCCTCTTGGGCCGTCTTGGGGCGCTTTTAGGCCGTCTTGGGGCTCTCTTGGAGGCCTCTTGGGCCGTTTTGAGTTGGTATTGGGGACACCTTGGGCCGCCTTAGAGCGTCGGAAAGCCAAAATGGCGAGAACGCCAAATTCTTTCAAACATGGAAGGAACATGAATGATTTGTGCCTTTGGGGGCCCTCTTGGGAGACCTCTTGGAGGCCTCTTGGGGCGCTTTGGAAGCCTCTTGCGCCATCTTGAGGCCATCGTGGGCGTCTTCGAGCGGTCGTTCGGCGACTCGGGGCCCTCTCGGACCGTCTTGCGGGACTCCTGGGTCGTGATGGAAGCCTTGGAGAGCCCCAGGGAGGCGCCAGGGCCGCCCGGGGACCCCCCGGGAGTGCGGCTGGCGCGCGCGACGAGGTGCGAAGGAGTGAGGGGGGGTCCCTTAGCAGAGTACGGTAGGTTCGCGTCGTGTCGACCGGCGGCGACCCCGCCGCCGACGTTCAACGTTGAACGCCGACGGCGGCCCAGAATCGGTCGATGTTGAACGATCGGACGTTGCGGAGACGGCCGATCGTTCAAGGTTGAACGATCCGGCGCGGTGTCAGAAACCAACGCCAGGGTCGACACGGCACGGACCTGCCGCACACAAAACCCTACCAGACAACGCTTGGCATTCTGGCACGCCTCAACGTTCCAGGCGGCACGGTGGTGGATTCTCTGGAAAGGGATGGTGGGTCTTTCGCACAGCAGGCACTGCGTCGCCCACCCCCGCCATCACTGTCCGCAACCAGTGCAAGGAGAGCGCGAGTCGTCCGCGCACGATCCACCTGTTGGTGCAGCGTGCGTGTGGTATTTGCTTTTCTGCACGGGGTGGTCCGGGGGTGTTGGCATTGCTCGCAGCAGGCGATGTGCTGTCGCCACGCCGCCGCTGTCAAAAACCCATGCAAAGTGATCGCGGGGCGTCCGCGCGCGATCCAGATTTTGGTGCAATGTGCACTTGCCATTGTTTTTCGCAGGGGGGAACCAGCCTGCGCGCAACAAGCAATATGCCATCACCCTCGCCGCATCTGTCAACAGCCGATGCGAATTTGTCGCGGTGCGCCCGCGCATGCTCCAGATTTCGAGGCAACATGTATCCTGTATTGTTTGTTGACAGGGATGGGGGGGGACCTTCGCCCAGAGGGCTGGTGGGATTTCTGCGAGGTGGGGGTTGATCCATGACAACCGCCTGGGGGATTGATCTCGAGGACCTCGGCAGGTGGCGGATATGGATATACTTGGGCCCCAGGGGGCAAAACATATCCATGTCCACAAACCCTTGGTCGTCGTTTTCTGATTCATTGTTTGGCCCATCGGCGCGGGCCCTGGCACCCACCCTCCTCCCCCCCATGGAGTACATCTTGGCTGTTTTTGGCGCTTGTTTCGAGCGACAGCACTCTTGCAGAGGCAGCAGCGGTGCGCCCCGAGGCAGCACTCTTGCAAACAGTCGCACTAAGCAGAGGTCTGGAGCCAGACCCCCCCCTGCCCCCCTTTCCGCCCAATGTCGAAACGCCAGATAAAAAAACGCTCACTGGGGGTCCCCTGACTTCGGTTCCCCAGGGGGGTGGATCTGGAAACCCACCGCATCGCAATTTCAAGCGAGCCGAGGTTCTCGTCACGGCCTCGATGTCGCCCGGCTACGGCACATCCGGCTCACGCGGCAGGCGATGGCGTGTTGGCAGTCGCACGACGCCTTCGCCCGCATCTGCATGAACCTCGGGGTGCACCAGCTCTTCCTTGCGCTCGCGTACTTCTTGTGCGGCTACGCGGCCACTAACATGCACTGCAACTCCGTGTACGCGATGAGCGTCGTGATACTCCTCATGCTCGCGGACACGATACTGCGGCTGGACATGTCGCTGTCCGTCGCCCAGCTGCGGTGGCTGGAGATTGTCCTGGCGGCGGGGCCGCTCACAAGCCTCGTGGCGGTCGAGCTCCCCCAGATTCTCTGGGGCAACTTCTACCTCACAGAGGCTCGGAGAAGAGACGCCCCCACACTCAGTATCGTTGCACCGACCCCCATCCCCCGTCCCCGTCCCCCATCCAGACCCCCACCCTCTTTGCGCCCCAGCGGGGGATGTACCCCTCGAAACCCGAAGGAACGGCCTACATTTACATCCCCATCTAGGGGGGTCCATCGGCCAGTGGGGCTCAGGCCACGTCCATGGGGATAGGGACCGGTTGAACGATGCCCACGTACTCATAAACTTTAACAAGGGCTCCCAGGAGGGCGCGAAGTTATTCGCGCTTCGCGCTTCGCCGTCCTCCTTCCTCCTCCCCCTCCTCCTCGTCCTCCTCTTCTCCCCCTTTGGGGGGGCGGCGCGAGAGCGCGAAGTTATTCGCGCTTCGCGCTTCGCGCAGCGCGAAGCGCGAAGTTGGGAGCCCTTGCTTTAAACGGTCGGTGGTCCGCGCGGAGCACTCGGGTGGGCGCCGGACCGCCCCAGCGGCGTCTCCGGCCAGAAGGGGGCTCGGCGCCAGTCCAAAAAAGCGCGCGCAGACGTCCGTTGATCGTTTGTTTGTGTGTGCGTTTTTGTTTTGCATTTCTTCGGGTTTTAGTCAGAACGTTGTTTCTCGTGGACTTTGTTAATGTTGGTCATGCTGTTGTTGGATTTGATTTTTGGTCCTTGGAGAATGCATGTTTTTGATCCTCCCCACTGGTGCACAGTTTGGCTCTTCAATTGAAGTGCTCCCCTCGGTGCTCGCCCTCAGTTTCTTTGTAATCAGGAAAAGTCTTCCTCCTCAAACTTCGTTGTTGGGCCCCCCGGGCTACAACTTCTACGGCTCCCGCCTGATACTTCCTTGATATTTCCTCAAAATGTATTCCCAAATCGCGCTCTCGCGCGGGACTTCCTCACACTGTATAGGGAATCGCGCTCTCTCGTGGGACTTCGTTCGATTTACACAGACGCCCCGCCCTCGACACTCAGGCATTACGCCCTCGCGTTGGCCTTTCTCACGATTTACTTGGGAATCGTGCTATCGCTCGAGACGTCCTCGCAATTCTTGCAGGACGCACGCTTCGACAACCCGCCTGCTTAATCTGGCCGCCTGGGCCCGCCTTCCCGACGCGCCCGTTCGGGCCTATCCGCCCGATCTGCCCGTGTGGTTCTGCCACGTGCTTTCTGCTCCTAGACCCCTTTGTGCTACTCTCTTTCGTGCTCCATCCTCCTCCCTCCCCCTTGTCCCTTTCTTCCATCCGGCGCTGCGCGAAGTACACGTTGCAGGTAGGAAAGATATATACCCCCAAGGTGGTACGATCGAAGACGAAGAGGGCGGGTATCGAGGGCTTGGAATATACGTGTTGAATGGCACACGAGCGCATAAGAGCGAATAGCCTCAAACTTCGTGGTTGTCGTTGAACTCTCACTATTGAACAATAATTATTGTTGATCCCCCCCTTCGGTGCACATTGTATTCTTTCAAATGAAGTGCCCCTCCCGGCGCTCGCACCCTGTTTTTATCAGGGGAAGTCTTCCTCCTCAAACTGTGCCCCCGGCCCCAGGTTTACAACAAGAACGGCTCCTGTTTGATACTTCTTTGGAATTTGCTCCAGTCCCCCGCTCCCGCTTGAGACTTCCTCGCAATTTACTCAAGAATCGCGCTCTCGCCTGAGACTTCCTCGCAATTTATTCATGCGCCGCGCTCTTGCCATTCAGGAATCGCGCGCTCGCTGGGGACTTTTCAAATTACTTGGGAATCGCTCTCTCGCTGGAAATTTCCTGGCGCACGCAGAATTCAGGAAGAAATATATACCCACCAAAAGTGGCATGATCGAAGAGAAGAGGGCGGGTATCAAGGGTTCGGGAAATGCACGCTGAATGACACTCGAGCAGATCATTTCTTAAGTATAATTATCGTTGACACCCCTTGGGGGCTCATTGTGTTTTTGAATTACAATGTTCTTTCAGGGCTCGCACCTTGTTTTTACCAAGGGACAGTGTGGGGTCACCAAATTGGGCCCTTGGCCCCCGAGTTACAACAACAACGACTGCCGCCTGGTACTTCCTCACAATTCATTCCCACATCGCGCTCTCGCGCGGGATTGTGTTACAACTTATACAGGAATCGCGCTCTCGCGTGGGACATCCTTCGATGTTTTTAGACGCCGCGCCCTCGGCACTCAGGAATCACGCTCTCGCTGTGGATTTCTCACGATTTACTTGGGAATCGCGCTGTCACTCGAGACTTCTGCGGGCAGGATGCGTATCTATATCCAGTGCGTCTTGGACTTTCTCGGGAGGGGCGCCACAAGGCCGAGGCGCACTGGATATGGATACACATCGAGCTTCTAGGTGGCAAATTTGTCTGTATCCAGTGCGCCTCGTGTTTTTGGGGACGGGAGCCCGAAACTCCATACTGCAGTGGATATGGACAGACGTATGTCCCGCATCTTCCTCGCGATCCATGCTGGACGCACGCTTCAGCAACCCGCCTGCTCGACCTGGCCGCCTGGGCCCGTCTTCCCGATCCGCCCGTTCGGGTCTACCCGCCCGATCTGCCCGTGTGGTTCTGCCACGTGTGTTTTGCTTCTACCCCCCCCTCCCCCTCCTGCTACTCTCTCTCTCGTGCTCCATCCTCCGCCCTTCCCCTTGTCCCTCCTTCCACCCGTCCTCTCTTCCCCTGCCTCAGGGGCTGAACGAAATACACGTTGCAGGTAAGAAAGATATACCTCTAAGGGGGTACGATCGAAGACGAAAAGGGCTGGTATCGAGGGTTTGGGATATACGTGTTGAACGGCACGCGGGCAGATCAGAGCAAGCAGTCTTAAGAGGAATGTTTTTGTGTTTCTGTTGTTTAAGTTTCACTACTGAAGAAGTGTGATTATCTTGCACAGCTGTGCTCTAGAGCTCGGACCTCTTTATGTTCGTGGTTCGTTCGTGGTTCGTCGTCCCTGGACCCCCCCCTCCCCCGAGCCTCCCAGGTCCCCCTGGGCTACGGAACCCTTTATTTTCGTGGTTCGTTCGTGGTTCGTCGTCCCTGGACCCCCCCCCTCCCCCGAGCCTCCCAGGATCCCCCTGCCCCGAGCCTCCCCCCGAGCCTCCCAGGGCAGCCCCCCTGGGCCGCCGAAGCCTGTATTTTCGTGGTTTGTTCGTGGTTCGTCGTCCCTGGACCCCCCTCGTCCGAGCCTCCCAGGATCCCCCTGCCCCGAGCCTCCCTCCGAGCCTCCCAGGGCAGCCCCCCTGGGCCGCCGAAGCCTTTATGTTAGTGGTTCGTTCGTGGTTCGTCGTCCCTGGACCCCCCCCTCCCCCGAGCCTCCCAGGATCCCCCTGCCCCGAGCCTCCCCCCGAGCTTCCCAGGGCAGCCCCCCCGAGCCTCCCAGGGCAGCCCCCCTGGGCCGCTGAGCCTCCCCCCGAGCCTCCCAGGGCAGCTCCCAGCCTCCCAGGGCAGCTCCCCCGGCCTCCCAGGGCCTCCCAGGGCAGCCCCCCTGGGCCGCCGAAGCCTTTATTTTCGTGGTGCCCCCCTGGGCCGCCGAAGCATTTATTTTCGTGGTTCGTTCGTGGTTCGTCGTCCCTGGACCCCCCCCCTCCCCCGAGCCTCCCAGGATCCCCCTGCCCCGAGCCTCCCCCCGAGCCTCCCAGGGCAGCCCCCCTGGGCCGCCGAAGCCTTCATTCTCTTGCACAGCTGTGCTCTAGAGCTCGGACATCTTTATTGTCGTCGTGGTTCGTTCGTCCCCCTGGGCCCCTCCCCTTGAGACCCAGCTCCTATGGGCCCTCCCCCGTGGGAGCCTTTGGGAGCCTCCCTCCGTGCAGGCTTCCTAGGGCAGCCCCCCTGGGCCACGGAACCGTTTATTCTCTTGCAAAGCTGAGTTCTAGAGCTCGAACACCTTTATTCTCTTGCACAGCTGTGCTCTAGAGCTCGGACATCTTTATTTTCGTGTCGTGTCGTGTCGTTCGTCCCCCTGCCCCCCCCCCGTCCAGGCTCCCCAGGGCAGCCCCCCTGGGCCTCGGACACATTTATTTTCGTGTCGTGTCGTGTCGTTCGTCCCCCTGCCCCCCCCCGCCCAGGCTTCCCAGGGCAGCCCCCCTGAGCCTCGGACACCTTTATTCTCTTGCACAGCTGTGCTCTAGAGCTCGGACATCTTTATTTTCGTGTCGTTCGTCGTTCGTGTCGTTCGTCCCCCTGGCCCTGGTCGCCCCCTGGCCCTGGCCCTCACCCCCCCCTGCCCCGCGTCCAGGCATCCCAGGGCAGCCCGTCCAGGCTTCCCAGGGCAGCCCCCCTGGGCCACGGAACCCTTTATTTTCGTGTCGTTCGTCGTTCGTGTCGTTCGTCCCCCTGGCCCTGGTCGCCCCCTGGCCCTGGCCCTCACCCCCCCCTGCCCCGCGTCCAGGCATCCCAGGGCAGCCCGTCCAGGCTTCCCAGGGCAGCCCCCCTGGGCCACGGAACCCTTTATTTTCCCCCGTCGTTCCCCCCCCCCTCGCCCCCTTCCCTGGGCACCCCCCCCTGTCCTCGGACACCTTTGTGCAAGAGCCAGGGCACGCGTGCCACTTGTTTTCGTGTCGTGTCGTGTCGTTCGTCCCCCTGCCCCCCCCCTGCCCCCCCCCAGACCCAGCTCCCCCGTCCAGGCTTCCCATGGCAGCCCCCCTGGGCCTCGGACATCTTTATTTTCGTGTCGTGTGACCACCTCTGC